CGCGGCTCAGGCTGCGTTTATTTTGGGAGTGGATTATGCCCCGGCGGTTGTGGGGTTCGAGTTCAAGGGTAGACACGGAACGGCTGTGATCAATGGTGTTGTGGTTGCCGAAGAGTTTGGGGAGGCTGTCAGAGCTGTCTGTGCAGGGTTAGAAGGAATGGAAGCTGGGGAGGAAGAGGATAGGAAGAGAAGGGAGGTATTGAGGTTGTGGAATAGGTTTTTGAAGGGGTTGAGGATTCGGGAGAGGGTCATGGAGGGTGTTGATGAGGATGCTGAGGAGGAAGAGGCAGGAGATTGGTTGAAGAAGGGCAAGGATGTGGAGATGGAGGACGTGAGTGAGGGAGAAGGTGGTGGCGGGTTTGTTGGGTTGAATGATTTGAGTGATGATGAAGGCGGAGGGTTTGTGATTGATGATGGAGATGGGGGCGGGGGGTTTGTTGTTGAGTGAACTATTGGATCCGACTAATGATCAAATAGGCATTCAATCATCCTTACCTCTCTCATTCGAGGTTGTGTCACCCCAACCCAAGCAATCCCAGTGGACACTGCCTAGAAATTTTCTCCACAGCGGAGAGTGGCCCGCCATCTCACCAATTTCTGACACTAAACTTTATTTTGACCTCATTTTTCTCTTTCACCTTACATCTCACAACCACAGCATATCTTTACAATGGGCAAATCAACCTCTTCCTCCACTATTACCCTCCCCAAAAATTGGCCGTCACAACTTCCATACCTAATAACCCCAACACACTCACCAAATCTCACACCCTCCAACCTCGCAGCTATCCGTATCCCACCTTCACCTTCGGATCCTTTACCTATCATACCCAAATCATACAAACCCGGACCCTGTCAATCAGTTCGTATAACGCCAATTACGGACCCAGCACACCCAGCACACAATCAATCCGGCCTGTTTGCGGCCACTAATCTCCAACCAGGACAATTAATTCTACCCTATATAGGGGAACTACACTCTTCTTTACCAAATCCGTCGTATGATTACTCTTCGTCAGATTATGATTTATGGGTTGACAGGGAAGGAGACGTAGCGGTTGATGCATCTAGGATGGGCAACGAAGCGAGGTTTGTAAATGATTTCAGGGGAGTGCCGGGGAAAATGGAAGGGGGAAAGAGCAAAGCGAATGCAGAGTTCAAGGTTGTGTGGGATGAGAGGAGAAAAGAAAGGGTGATGGGGGTTTTTGTTTTGGGCGAGGGGAAGAGTGGGAAGGTAAAGGGGATCAGAAAGGGGGAGGAGATTTTGGTTAGTTATGGAAGGGGATTTTGGGGGGAAAGGAGAGGCGATGAGGGGTGTTGAAAATGCGCCAAGAGCTTGCAGTGGTCGGAAATGTGATGTCTCACATTTTTCGGAGGAAGACGGGACGGCTCAAGGCGGGGAAGAGGGAAGAGAAAATTTTGGAGTTGCTGAAAAATTCTCAACTTTTTCATCATCATCCGCAAGATGTTTATCACTCGACTCCCCAGCAGCAGGTATGCTGCTTCTTTGCTCTTCCCCAGGGTACACCAGATACACCTGGGTCAGCGAATGCGACAAGTTCATACGAAAAAGACATCATCATTCATAGCCCCTTATCGCGGCGGCGTCTCTCTTGATCTTGATGCTACCGCTATACATAAACGCCACGAGGTATGGCCTGCGAACCACTTCTTTCTTTGATCCTCATCTAAAAGATTTCAAATAGACAAACCCCAAAACTCATCACCTCATATTCCTGCGGTGCGGTACTTTACCCGCTATAGCGCTCGCCAGCTCAACATTGCAGTTCCTCTATCACTCGGTATTTGCTTCTTGAGACCGGCAGCATCATCATCCCCAGAGAAACAGACATACCCTTTTCTACAACACCTGATGAAGGAACTTGACAGCGCGGTGTGGGACCACCCGCTGCCCTGGTGGTCTAAGCTGATTTTAAATCGCTACTGCCTAGAGACCCAACAACCGCTGGCAGGAAGACCGGATGGTTTCGGTTTCCCCCTCTGGCTCCCCGTCGTACTTCCTCGCAAGACGTGGCATTGGACTTTGGACTGGCATAAAGCACCTAATGGAGTCGGGAACATCAAGCCGGACAAGGGTTATGTCGAGTATTGGGGTTATTTTGGAAGCAATATGCTTAGTCGTTTCAAGACCAAGAGCGGCATTGTGATTGGGGAGTCGTTTCATGGATCTGCGCGGTTTTTTCGCATTCTTGGGTTGACTAATTGGATGGCTTTTTGGACGCCTCTAACGTTGGCGTTTTATTGGCTGTGGTGGTAACCTTCCAGATGGGTTGGTGATAGGAAGGCGATAGGAAGGCGATAGGAAGGCGATAGGTTTTTCCTTTTTATCGTTTGGTTGTGTGGAGGTTTTGGGGTTGGATAGGCAATGTTAATGGAGGGTTTATCTAATGGGTTGATTTGAAGGATTGTGGGGGTGGTCGTGTCGCTTTCCATTGCTCTGACCTGCAAACGAAAGTTGCTGGTCGACCCGATTAGGAAGGGTGGCGTTTGAACGGAAGCTTCGTTTGCAGGTCAGAGTGGTCAAACAGAGCTCTTGCCATTTCGGAGTGCAGCTTTGAGATCCAAATTTACCAAAGCTTCCTTTTGCAGTTTCGAGCTCTGAAAATTGACGGCCCAAATTTTGACGAAAACATTTACCAGAGCTGCTGCTCCCCAACTGCAAGCGAATACTTTTCGGTAAATGATGTTTTTTCTGTCAACCAATTCAACCGCAAACATGGCCTTTCGAGGAAGGCTTCTCCGCGGTCATGTATCGACTGTTTTCTCTCGTCAATTTGGGGATTCATCGATTGACGCACTCCGCAGGTCCATGTTTTACAAAACAATGGCAGATAAATATTGCGCAGAGAAGTTATACCGCCCCGAATCTGAGATATTGCATGAGCTTCGGGTGAGTGAAACTGCTGATCAGTTTACAATATACGCCTCTCACAACTTTTTGGCCTACAGACACCCCCGAAAACCCACCATCTGATCGTTCTCCAGAGGTACGAAGATCATGTCGAAGAACTCACCATTGCCATCCCTCTTGATAAGGGTGTTACGTTCCATGACGGGGTGGATGATAAAGGCGTCGGACCGATGATTTTCACTCCCAAAGGCGACCGGCATATTTTTATCGACATCTGTCAATCCCTTCAGTCGGGCATCCTAGAACAAAACTCGCTGCAAATAATGTGACCTCTGAGGCCCTGCTTGATGCTGTGGCAGTATGTCAAGTCGCAGGACTACCTCCCGTCGATGGACGAGATGCGTTATCCTATGCTTGTGATCGATGATATTTCCCTGAGAGTTAAACCTACGTTGAATGGGGAGTGGACTTTGGATATCATCAAGGCCTTGGATCAGGATGACACGGAGAAAAGCACTCTTCGAACACCGTTGTTCAAGTCCTACGCCTTGTTTTATTGCGACAGATGGGTGGATCCCATAATTACGTTTCCTGTTCTTGGCTTTAAAGTAAAAATGCGGTGGTCATTTTTTGAAAAGGGCCGTCGTAATGTCCTAATCGACTATTCTGAGACTGAGTAAGCCTTGCGATTCGGAGGCTGTGAAAACTGAGAGGGTGGTGAAGTTAGTATCAGAGGGGGGAATCAAGAAAAGGCTGGAGGATATGGGATTCTGAAACTGGAGACATGATTCCAGCACCGGAGAGCGGGGAAAATATCATGGCGTCGTCAATCCGTATATTTCCATAAACAAAACCATTACAACTTATTGGAATTCTTTGAATGGAGAATCTGTCAGTAGCTTCTCTCTCCATATACTGAAAGTTGACAGAGTTTCGATCGTCTATTGGCTAACAGATTTAAGCTATCTCGTGGAATGGCTCGTAGCAATTGCATGGCTTTGGCTTCCTTTTCGCCGACAAAATGAAGGAGCAATACGAAGATGCCAGCGCCAGAATGCCAGTACCAGGAAGCAATCACCAGGTTCATCATTCAACTAAAGCCACCAAATCTTCCAAGGCCAATATTCCACAACCAGTATTTCAAAGCCAGTTTCATTTCCACAACCTACTGTTTCCAGGGCCAGGACCCTAGAGCCAGTATTAGGTAATCTTCGCAGGCGACCTATATTGAATTGGAAGCCAATCCATCAACAAGATATAAATAATCGAGCGAAGCGAGGACCGGGTGTTTGGGGGCTTGCCCCCATAAACAAGTGTCCGTGGTGGTGGCCTTCGCTCCACATTCCTTTCGAAGCATTGATCAAAGGCAACGGTTCTTGTATTTTATATAAGTAAATAAAAGGAGGGATACGAATGTGGTGATCGTTTATTCCTGGTTGATTTGAGTTCTTTTGGTTGAAGATCTGATCGGAAAGTAACTTTCGGCGAAGAGAATGTTTGGGTCTGATGAACAGAGTTGGTGAAGAAGGTTGGATGGTTGAGAGATATTTTGGAAATCGTTATTAAGAAGCTGAGGCGGAGGTTTTTGTTGTGGGGGTTTTTGAAGGGGGTGGTGAGGAAGAGGGGGAAGGTTGAGGGGGTTGTTTGGGCGTTAGGGGGAGAAGATGTTGGAGGTGATGGCGGAGGGTGTGGTGGGGGGATAAGGAGGAGGTGCTGGTAGTGTTGAGACGGAAGGTCATTTTAAGTTGCTTTGCTTTGCGTTGATTTATTTGGTGAAAGAGGGAAAAGGATGAGGGAAAGGATAGAGGCACGCGGGAGAGGAGCGTAATATATCCGAGAACCTGTTCTATATATAATCCTGGTCTCGGGATATCCGAGACCTGTGCTAGGCTTAGACTGTCCTGCATGTCTCGGAAACAATCGTAATATGTGACATGTCTCATAATGAGCTGATGACTTTTTGACAAGATAAGGACACACAAGTTCTCACCGCCCCTCATGATGAGATGATATCATTTTCAGCTGTCATCAGCCGTCTATTAAAGCCACATCCAAAAAGCTGCTCTGCCCAGACTCTCTCAGACTTGCCCAAGGACTATTTAAATTTTATTTATGAGGAACTAAAACTGTCTCCGTAGCTCAGTGGTCAGCGTCTTGTAATTGCCTTTTCTTACAGCGTTTTGAGTTTCTCCAGCGAATTTGATTTAAGGCAGCGTAGAAAGACGTCGGTTCGAATCCGACCGGGGATAATTTATTTTCTCTCTCTTTTTTTTTTTTTGGGCCTCTCTTTAATCTTTCTTCTTTTCTCTTTTATTGCTTTTATCCACCCATCTTCTTTTCCTTTTTAATTTTGATAGAGCGTATTTCCAATTTGATTGAGCTGGAGTTTGGGGAGGGCCAAGCAAGAGTTTCTCTCCTTTTTATAGCCACTTATACTTTATAAGGATTTTTCGAATGTCTGTATATTTTTCGAGAGACCAGGTTATGTATCTCGATGGGTCTTGACTGTGTAGAGAAAAGGAGAGAGTTATACGGAGGAGGAGGAGGGAGTAGTACCAGCACCCCAGTGTATCTATCAACCAACATAGAAGAATATCGATCGTTAAGCCAACTGAGGAACTCTCAGTCTAGCCCCTATAAGCATTTGGTGATGGTGATGGCTTCGTTCCGTGTCTTGCCCCTATCTTATCATCCTAAACGCCACAACCTCCACCACAACCACTCTTTCACCCCCCCAGTGCCAAAACAAGGTTATTTATTCAAGATTCCGGTTCTTGCTTTCCAACCAAGTCTACATACAGTCCCCGTAGCGCAGTGGTTAGCACCTAAAGATTCTCAGCGTTTGATTTATCCCAAACTACCTAAGACACCAGGAGACGTCGGTTCGAATCCGACCGGGGACAATTCCTTTTTCTTATTTTTATATATCCTTTTTAAATTTTGTTTTGGCTCCGAATATCATCAGGTAACAAGCCTTTCATTATGCTTTTTCCCCCTTTTCTATCTGTTTCATTATTCCTAGAGTCCAGCAATTGTTATCTCCCTCTTTCATCCATATCGTAATTGTTCATCCAGTTCTTCTTCGTCAACATCTATATTTTTCACTTGTATAATTTATTCACCGCCATTCTCATAAAAAGAAAGTCTTTTTCAGCCTTTTTATAATTATTCTATATATAGTAAACCAAAAAAAGAAAAAAACGTCAGAGGAGGAAGATCAAGAAATACTACTTCCAACTTCCAACTTCTTCACTTTTCTCTCATCTCTTTTTTTCTTCTTCTTTTTTTGGATTATTAAGTGGATCAAAGGTCAGGTTTCACGGTGGGGGTTGTATGTACAAAAGAATTTTTTGAAAAAAAAAACAAACAAATTGTCTTTTGCTAGCTTATAGTTATATAACTGAATGGGAAATTAGATCTACAGTGTAAAAGGTGATAAAACCGCATACATAGTATAATAAACCCCCCCTACAAAAATAGCCTTGCGGCAACGGACCAAGGGCGAGGATGTTTAGTTTCGTTATCATTTGGGTATGAAGCAACATGGATGCGTCCAAAGGGAAAAGGAAAAAATGCGTATTTGAGATTCTATAATTTTACTGTATACCTTTAGAAAGAGAAGAAGATAAGGATGATGTTTTTACATAGATACATATATGTCCCATATACACATACCAGCTTTCTAACAGCCACAGGTATATATAACCGTTTTTCTTCTCTCCTTCATGTCATCATGATATTTATACAAAAGTTAAGAGTTGTGATTTATACACGACATCGTCAAAAGCTTTTTCAAGCCTTGAAGGCCTTCTGCGTCTTTTGGCTCACAGCTTGCGTATTCTTGGCCAAATTGGGGTTCTTCAACACCTTTTCCACCAACGCAAGCGTAGCCTTGGGCACCCTCAACCGCTGCCCAAGAACCAAAGTACCAGTCAACAGGGCAAGAGCACCGGCCTGATGGGTAGCAGCCAAATGAATGGGCACCATGTAGATAAGAGTAGAGATGCCCAGGATAACCTGCAACGAGGCCAAGTGAACAAGACCCATCACGCCCTTGCGCACATTGGCGGGCATGGCGGCCTTGACGCGGCCAGTGCGGGAGTAGACAAAAAGAGCAATAACAGCAGTGAAGGTGGTCGTAGCGAGAATTCGGTGGTTAAGCTGGACCATTGAAGGGTTCTCGAGCATGTTGCGCCAGACAAGATCCGAGTTGTCCTCGTTGCGAGAGTAAAACTTGTTCATGAGCTCAGCCTTGGGAGGCATGTAACCAGTTCCCATCTTGGGGAACTCGTTGTAGATCAGACCTGCATCGAGACCAGCGACTAGAGCACCAGATAGGACAGTGGTGAAAATGAGAGCCGTGAGGAAGAGAACAGAGCGGCGGAGGACGTTGAGCGCAGGAGACTGGAGACGAGCGAATGCCTTGGCGGCAACTTTGGGATTAGCCACGGCGTGGTTGGCGCGGAAAACGCTGAGGCCGGCGAGGAGCATCCAGGAGTAGCAAGCGAAAGCGGTAGCAAGATGAGCAGTGAGACGGTACTGGCTGACGCGAGGGTGAGAACCGGGAGTGAAGAGATCATCCTTGAGACCAGACTTGACCATCCACCAGCCAATAAAACCCTGGAAACCGATAAGAGCTGAGATACCGACCAAGGTGGTTGCCATGCGCGGGGTGACCTTGCGACGAGCGATGAAGTAGATGGTTGGGATGACAAAAGACATGCCGATGAAGCGGCCCCAGAGACGGTGAGTCCATTCCATAAAGTAAATCTTCTTAAATTCGGCGAGATCCATGTGCGGGTTGATCATCTTGTACTCGGGAGAGGCTTGGTATTTCTCGAACTCGGATTCCCAGTCGGCGAGGGACATGGGGGGAAGTGAACCGGTGACTGGTCTCCATTCTGTAATGCTCAGGCTGCAAGGAACCAGGTTAGACCATTTATTTGTTTGTTCATTGATGGTAGTTGTTTGGCATACCCGGACTCGGTCAACCGGGTGAGACCACCAAAGACGACAATTCCAAACACGCTGATGGAGCTTCCAATAAGAAAGTAACCGACCGATTTGGCGTTGGTTTCGGGAAACGAGGAGGACTTTTTAGAGGAATTGCTGGAGCTATCGTCGACGGCATCCTGAACAAGTGTTACGGGGGCATTTATGTTGCTGCTGAGAGAAGCAATTGGGGAGTTTGAGGGTTTCGTTTTCGAGGCATAGCTTCTCGCGGCGAGATTGAAGATTATGGATGAATGCGGGGCAGCAGCAGCTACTGAATTTTGCTGTCGCAGACATTGGCGACAAGCGAATGACGAGCGGGAGAGCTGCGCAGCTACTCTGCGCAGCCCAACTTGAAAGAATGACATTGTGTGGGATACCCCTTTGTGCCGGCAATGGCGGGAAACCTGGTGGACGAGAAACTCCCAGGTTCACAGCTCTTTGCTCTCGAGGCTCGAACGATGGGTGTGAATTGGAAATCAGATGCTCCACTTTCCCACAAAATCGGCCCACCACCCTACCAATGGTGGGAGCTTGGGCCCCAAAGCGCCCCGTGCGAAGTACCCGACGTTGAAACTCAATTCACTGAAACTTTTGATGAACGCATTCTCAGAGAAAAGAAAAAAAAGTCTAAAAATTATCATTGTGCTGTTGCCTTGAACCCAATTCGAGGTTTTTCGCCCAAACACCGAATAAAATGCAAAATCCCAATCTCGACCTTCCTTCATATATATTGCGTACAGAAATACAGAAACACGCTGTCATTATTTTTACAGCCAAACGATGATTTATTTCTTGGCTTCAGCAGTAGCAGCTGCAGGAGGAGTTGCGGTACCATCGCCATCAACCGCTGCCTCGGCCGCCTGCATTGCCGGCTTTCTGAACAGCAAAATCTCCTTCAAAGTTCTCTTGGTTTTGTCCTTGGGAGCATGCAGAGGTTTGTGCTCCTCGTTGATGTCGTGGTGGTGTTCATAGTCAACATGGACAAACGCTCTCTCAACGTCGGCGAGACCTTCAATCTTGCGCTGCAAACTCTGACCAATGTCGTGGGTAATTCTCAGCGGCAGATTCTCATCCAGGACAATATCCATCTCGACATAGTAGTTGTGGCCGGCGTGGTAGGCCCTGCAGGTATCGACCTTGAGGATCCTCTCGTCATGCGTCACCCCCATGTAGATGAGCTTGGCGATATACTCCTTGGGCGCCGATTTGCCAACCAAGAGCCACACCTGCTCAAAAGCGTTGGAAGACCACGAGTACAAGATTACCACAGCGATTATGATGGCGCCAATGGGATCCAAGTACCACACAATCTTGGCACCGACGATGGCCATGACCAGCCCAAAGGTGTTGATAAAAATGTCGTTGCGATGGTCAATGTAAAAGATGTGGACTGTCGGGAACCTGCGGTACAACAGGCAGTATACCATCATGCTGCCCTTGGCACCAATGGCGACGGCGACAAAGATGATCGGAATGAGGTGCAGTTCCTCGGCTTCTTCGCCGCGTCCACCACTCCCGAGAGATCGAGCACCCTCAATGAGGAGCTGGACAGCAACCGTCGTCATCAGGGCGCAGAACAAGATGATGCCAATGGCTTCTATGCGCTTGCGGCCCACTGGATACTTGTAGACGCTGGGTCTGGCAGCCAGGATGGATGTTACGAGCATGACAAAGGAAGAAACAAGATCCATAAATGCGTCGGCCGTCGTGGCAAATAACTGTGAGGGCTCACGTTAGTATCACTCCAACTACTTGGCCATCGACAAATCGAGGAAACTTACCACCAGGGATCCTGTTGAGATGGCAGCATATAGTTGGATGATGAAGAGTGACAAGTTGACAACGAACGAAGCTCTAATGGCAAACTTGATCTTGGGTTGATACTTGGCATCTGCTTCCACGGCATTGCGCTCTTCGTCATCGACGCCGAGGAATTGGTCGATAAGCTCATTCTGTTTGGTATAGTACTTTTTGAGTTTCCTCTTGTTGCCGTTTGGATGGTCGTTCTTCATCTGCTTCATGGTAGGGTTGGAGTGTTTATGGCGTTCAAAGTCTAGCGGGTCCATCGTGGGTTGCCGAGTCGGAGGCGATACGTCGATCTCCTTGGCCGTTGAGCTGCTGGAAGCATTGTCACTTGGGGAAGGATTCACGGTCGTGATGATATCCTGAGCAGCATCGGCTGTTTGTTTTGTCTGTCAGTCATGGTGATCGACCCAGAGCCCCAGATTCTTGGGAGAGGGGTTTGGTAGTAGCC